TTTTTCGAGCATTTTTCAATTTTGAACATGAATTACAGCCAAACGGCTGCAGTGTTTTTACATTTCATGGATTTTCTCAAAAACTATAACAGATAGAATGAATCCAAAAGATGCATATGAAAGCTGAATGTTTGGGGAATCTTGCAAGTATAGATAAATTCCTGTGCTCTTATCCATATTGCTGTAATGCGCGTTCCTTTTATGGGGAGGCGCCAAATGATTATATACTTTTGAGGGAGGCGTAGTAACATCAAGTTTGGAAACCACTGCACTAGATATTTACTTACACTAAGAAACAAGCGATGGTGGCGACCTCGGACGACATTACAGACATTATTTATCAGAATTTTCATTTGGGAATCGAAATTTAATTTTTATAAATAAATTATGATTTTGTTGTGTGTCTGCGTGCGTGCGTGCGTATTTAAAGATAAATTGCAAATTAGTAGAAAACAACGAAAAAAAAAGAAAAAGTCATCGTATTTAATTTAAAATTCTCTTGCATCGATATATATATGCCTTTTTAAAAGGCACGAAAACATAACATGAAAATTAAATATATATTTGTATACGATTTAAATCTAAACATTTCTTAATAATAATAATAATAATATAATACAAAAAAAAAGCTCGAGGATAAAGGGGTGTTTCAAGAAAATAAAGAGATTAAGAAAACAAAGAAACAAATGAAAAAAATGTAAAGAAAGACGTAAACTAAAACTTTCTTCTTCGTCGGATGTGGTGTGTTGGTGGTTGGTTAGTCCGTGGTACGTACATCCAGCGTCGTCGCCTTCTTCTCTTATTCGCTCTCTACATATATGTTTAAAAAGTGTACATTTTAGTCATCAATAAGCTAACAATTCTAATCACAGTGGTTGTTTATGCGTGTATCTGTTTGTCTGTGTGTGTGTGTGTGTGTTAGGATGCAAATCTAAAATTATAACAAACATATATATATATATTTAGTAATGATATTAATAATAATTGTAATAATAATAACTAATATATTCAGCGTTCGTCGAAAATATTATTATATAATATTGTTTATAAAATGTTAATATCTCGATAATTTTCAGAAGAAACCATCAACAGTAAACAAACAAACAAAAAGAATAAAGAAGAAAAAAAAAGATATAGAATAATAAAATTACATGTGTAATTTAAGAGCATAGATATATATATATATGTATAATAAATAAACAAACAACTCTTTTGATTATGCGATAATTACATTTTTTTCTTTTGTTTCCACCTCTTATATAAATCAACTCTTCATTTCAAGTTAACTATGTACAAAGAAAAAAAATAAAAAAAAAACAAATGAAATCCACTTCCAAAAATTTCGTTCCAACAAATGTATGTACACAATATTCAACGTTGCATTAAAAATAAATTAAATTTTCTTATTTCGTTTCATTTTTCTTCATCCTGATCCTCAAATATATATATTTATATATATTTCACCACTTTTACACATTGCGTCACAATCGTGTTTCACCCCAACCGCCCTCTATTATCATCTTCATATTACTTAAATATACTTTTGTTTGTTTTTTTTTATTGTGTGTGTATATATGTATGTATTTATGTATGTATATATATATAATATCTATAAACCTGTCCCTGTGTAGAAATATACAATATTCACATTATATCTTACAAAATAAATTAATCGAAATGAAATTACTTCTAAACAATAAACCAAGTAAAATCAATTCTCAACTTGCTAAAACAAAAAAAAAAGAAACAGAGTAAAATAAAGTTTATCGAAATGGAAAAAGAGAAAGGAACGTTATCCTCCCTCGTCGTCCCTTAATCATTATATAGTCTTCCTCTTTCAATACATATAATATATATACAAGCGGACACAGCCTAGAATGTTTTGTTTTTGTATTGTTATTTTTGTCTCTGTATAAAATAATCCATCCATCCTTCGTCGTCGTTGTTGTTGTTGTGGTCATCGCCGAGAGAGAGCACCACTGTTTACCTCCGCATCGTGCCGTTGAGTGGTTGCATGAGGCTGCCATTGATGTAGCCGTAGGTGTACTGAGGAGCACCTCTCTGGATGGCCGCAGGATCCTGATATTGGGTTTGGCTCATGTTCATCACTCCCATCTGCATCGGGATCTGTGTGTTGTTGATGAATCCTGCCGTATTGGTGATGTATCCAGTCACCGCAGGCGTCTGCTGCGTGGCCATCCGATACCCGTTCAGGTGGTTGTACTGCGCCATGATTGGATTGAGAGTGACGTTCGGGCTTGCCCTGCTCGAGGTGGTCTGCATATGCTGGACGGCGACGTTCGTGTTTCGAGCGGCGGCTGCAGCGGCGGCGGCCGAACGAAGAGCGTTCTGAGGCATCGGCGGCGTCACGGTACCACTCAACTGATTCACGTTCATGTTCGGCTGGTAGTACTTGTAGCCAAGCACCTGCGACTGCAGATTGGGAATGGCGGACGGCGGCGTCGGTAGGTTGCGCTGGTTCTGCAGAATATGATGATTCGGGGGCGGAGTCATGGTCGTGTGATGAGTGGGCGGCGGCGTCAACGTCATTGCTGTAGGCGGGGGTGGAGTCATGGTGCTGCACGCCGTCGGCGGGATCATCTCTAATCCGTTGGTCAGCTGCTGCAGCTTGGCCAGGCTGCAGCTACTGTTCGCCTGATTCTGGTTGGCTGCGACGGTGGGCGGACCGGCGGCCGTCGTCGGCGTGGTCGCGGGTGCGTGTCCGTTCGGATTCGCCTGGAAGTAGAAGTTTCCGCCGGCGGTGACCGCGCACGATTTCTGATTGAGCGGTTGATGTGTCGCAGGCATACGATGCTGGATGACGGTGGTCATGCCCGGTACGCTCACGTAGCTGCTGGCCGCCTGAGAGGGAAATGCCTGCGAGCTCACCGCCATCTGAGGCACTGGTATATAATTGGGATGGTGGTGGTGGGGGTGCGGATGCTGGTGCATGGGAGGCGCCGAACCTAGCTGGTGGTGGTGCGAATGGTGCATTGCCACCTGGTGCTGGATGTGCGCCTGCAGTTGCTGCGACGGATGGTTATGCTGTTGCATGGGGTTCAGCTGGCTCTGATGGATTGTGGCCTGCGTTGGGCTCGGCTGCATGTGCTGCTGACTGGGAGGTTGCACCGGGGGCGTCGCTCTTTGCCTCTGTTGCACCTGAACGACAAATCAAATTGAAAACAATATTAATCTCCACTTCTCCAAATAGCTATAAATAGGTTTTAAATATACCTGTTGAACATGCTGCTGCTGCTGCTGCTGAGGTGTGGGCGGTGTGCTCCTCATGTTCGCGTGCTGTTTACTAGAAGGTGTGGCGCTTCTATTCCGCTGCTGTTGCATAGACCTTTTGTTGCTCATCGCAATGTTTGGACTCGAAGCCGGCGCCGCTGTTTGATTATGCTGCTGCTGTTGTTGCTGCTGTTGTTGTTGCTGCTGTTGCTGTTGTTGTTGCTGCTGTTGTTGCTGCTGCTGCTGCTGCTGCTGTTGCTGCTGGGCGTGAAGAGTTGCCTGCATGTTGTGCTGAACCGTGCAATCGTAGCTAGGAGTGCCGGAGGCTGCTGCAGCGGCCACTGCTGACGGAGGCCTCACCGGTTCCACCGAATTCTGCGACGCCATATCGCTGCTGATGGACGCAGGCGACTCCAATCCTAGCTGACTGACGGCGTCCAGATCGCACTGTCCGTAATGCAGGCTGTGCACAGAGTTGGTCGTCGAATCTGGGGTGTAAACACCCATCGATGGAATGTCTTTACCACCACCAGCCGCCATCTGATTACTTCCGTCCACCTCATTCTCTACAGTCTCCTTGACCATTTTCTTCTCCGGTTTTTCGCATCCTTTATCACCTCCCTCCTTGCTGTTCTTGTGCTTCTCGTCCTTCTTCGGCGACGGCTTTTCCTTCAATTTCACCGCCGGCCGATGATGCTGAGCTTTTGGAGTCTTCTCTCTGCCACTTTCAAGTTGCGGATTCTTGGGCAATACTTCTGGCGGAATCGATGAATACATCGACAATGGATACTGATGGTAGAAGTTGCGATCCAATGCAAGCCTATCCCAGTGCCACTGATAGCTCTGCTGATAGTTTGGCGTCGCCATCGTATACTCCGGAGGCATTTTATCGGTTTCATGATGAGGTGGTGGAGGCGGTGGTTGCTGCTGTTGTTGTTGCTGCTGCTGCTGCTGCGTCACAACCTTCTTGTTGTCCTCCGGTTTTAGATACCTTTTATCCTGCGACACGCAATGACTCTCTTTATGATGGTACTTTTTCAACTCCTTCGTTTGCTGCTCCCCCGATTTAACCTTCTTCTTTTCCTCCGCGTGACCTTTATTCGTCTCATCCTTCTGCAACTTCTCGTTAGGTTCCCTCTGTTGCGGCAAATCCTCGGCCTTTTTAACCTTAGTCTCTTGCACTGTTCTCGCCGTTAATTCATGTTTGACGGCATTTTCCATCGGTTTCTGTTTCATCGATGCCTCGTCCACCACGTGTTGCTGCGGTTTTATCACCTCGTACTGTTTCGCTGCAAACGAAGATGCAAGATGCTCTTGCTGCTGAATGCGAGCGATCTCCTGTTGGTGCGCAATGAACGCCACATCTTGCTGGTATTTCTTTGCCTCTTGGTGATAGATCGCCATCTCCTGCTGATACTTATTGTAATCCTGCTGGTATTTTTCGTGCTGAAATCTCATCAGATCGGAATTCATCTTTGGTGGCATCTCCTGCATGCACTGATGCTTCACGATAGGCGCAGGTGCTTCTACCACTTGAGGTTTGGGTGGAGGTGGTTCTTCTATAACTGGTTTAATTACTTCTTGCTTTGGTGGTTCCACCTTAACTGGAACTTCCGCATCCTTTTTTATCTCCACCTCCTTTGCCTCCTCCGCAGGCTTGGGAACTTCCGCTTCCACTTTAGTTTCTGCCTGTGGCTTCGGCGGAGAGGGAAGTGGGGCTGGTGCTGCAGGAACGGTTGGCTCAGGAGAGGCGGCTTTGGTTTCTTTGGACGCGATTACTTCTGGTTTCGGATTTTCCTCCTCTTTGGGTTGCTGCGCCTTCTTATCTGCCTCCTCCTGATATTTCGCTAGTTCTGCTTGGTATTTCGCAGTTAGATTCGGTTCCGTTTGAGTTTTCTCGACTTCCGGCTGAATCAGCACCTCCTCTTCGACCGGTTTACTCTTATCAGGTTTAGAAGATGGCTCTTCATGTTTAGGTGAATTTTGTGGTTTTTCCTGAACCTTTTCTTCGATAACTTCCTTCTCTTCGGATTTTTTGTTGTCTTCGGGAGCGACGTCAAGCGGTTTGTCTTCGACAATTTTCGACTGCTCCGCTACGTTAACAGCTGGACTTTTGGTTTCTTCTTTGGGCGGTTCCATCTCTTTGGGAGGACTTGACTCTTCTTTTACCATGGGCGAAGCTGGAGGAATCGGTGCGGAGGCTGCATCTGTTGCTTCGACTGCCAAGATATCAACTTTGGACTCTTCCTCTTTGCACTCCAATTTGACGCGCGAATCTTCGTCGCTTGGCGTTGGACTGAGAATGCCGCATTTCTTTGTGATTTCCATGATCTCCTCCTGTGAGATGATCTTGATCTTTTGTCCGTCAATCTCGGTCTCGGATTCGGAGCTGCTGGTGAACTCGTTGGGAATCTTCTTGGGCAGATTGTTGTTCTCCTTTTCGGGTTTCTTGTACTTGGGCGTAGGAGGTTTCTGCACGACCACCTCATCCTCCATTTCGTCGTCGGCTTCCGCAGAAGAATCCTCCTCGCACGAGGGCCTCTTGGTACGGCGCTTATCGAGCTTCGACTTGACTTCCTCCTGCAATTTCTTTTCGTTCGCCGCGTTTGCTTTAGCCAGCATCTCTGGTAACGTGAGCTGCGTGGTCTTCGGCTTTCGTCTGTTATTCGACCAGCCGGTTCTTCGCCTGTTTTGCCTCTTTCTGATCTGAGGTGTAGTCGTTGTCGTCGTCGTCGCTGTTGTCGTGGCAATGGGTGGCGTGACTATTGGAGGATCAGGAGTGACCACTGGCTCTTCCACGGTCTCATCCACCTCGGGCGTCATTACTTTGTACTCCAACTTCTTGGCTCTACGCTGGGACCAGCGCTGACCTTGTTGCACCACCTTAGCGCGAGACTTGGAGACCGGCGGCGGTGTTATAATCTCTTCCACCTTAACTTCCTCGGCCTTAATTTCTTCCTCCTTAACCTCCTCTTCCTCCTCCTCTTCGTCCTTCGCCACCACCTCCACCTTCAGTTTCTTCGTATCAATTTCCGGTTCGGTTAAGCTCTCGTTCCTCTTGCGTTTAACATCTTTCTTGTTATCGCCAAAGGTGGTTTCCTTGAACTTGCTAGGCCTGGTGCGCTTTCGTCCCGAGGAGGTGACCTCGACGACGGCAGGTATCGGATCCTGCGGAGATTCTTCAACCACGATCTTCGCGGCTTTCGGGGTGCGATAGGTGTTGCTGTTGTTGCGCCTCTTTTTGCCTCGCCGCATCTTCACCCCGGTGTGCGTTTCAAGGATGATCTTCTCGGGTTGTGGCACTATAATGTCGGCTGTTTCGTTAATGCTGTTGTCCTTATTATCGGTATCGGATTTGTCTTCTCTGAAAGGATTCACCGTTGCCGTAAGCAATGGCGTCCACCGCAAACACTCTGGATCGATCTTGATGCGAGGGGTCTTCGATTTGGACACCCTCTCGATGTACCCGTCCACTTTCTTCCAGTCCACGCACAGCACAGGCTTGTAGACAACTTCGTTTCCTTCCGTCACCGTTTTGTACTTGATGAAATTGAGTATTTGCAAGATGGTGGCAATGTCGTGGCAATACATGCCAGTCTCCTTACTGATGTCCGTCAATTTGAGATTCTTGATGCTCCGGTTATTGTGAAGATGTTCTATAATCACCGACTTCCAATAAGCGTAATAAGAAACCCGACCCAAGTCTGATAACGGTTTCTCCGGTGTTCCCGGTTGACCTTCCTCCCGGGACAGCAGATACGAAAAGTCTATTAGGAATCGTCCGAATCCCTGCCGTTGGTATTGGGGCATCGTCATGATGCAAGACACATTGTACTTTTGCTGGCAGTGCTTTTCCTTACTGAAATAACCAACCAAATGACTGCCCTTCTTATCGTTCTTGGTGAGCACGTAAAACAGGAAGGGTTCCACATCGTAGTAGAGAGTCTTGTGGTCCAAGAACAGTTTGGCGAGAAGGCACAAATTCTGGCAGTAGATTTTGTTAACGTTCCCGTCCACTTCGAACACCGAAATCTCTCCGCATCGGTAGATCTCCGTTGCCGGTGGATGCTTCCAGGTGCACTTATCCTGGTGTCGCTCCAGCACTGCCTTGCTCTTGGTGTATTTGAGGCAGAACTCGCATAGGAATAGCTTGGGCAGACGTGCGTATTCCTGCGGGAACGGACTCGAGTACCAGGTCTCTATCTCGTATTTGCCGAACTCGATGGCGGCCGGATTTCTCTCCTGCGTTGCCATCTGCAGCGAGGGACTGGTGAGCGGTCCGTTGGACTCACTGTTCTCCGATTTGCAGAGGTCCGAGAGGGTCGTGGAGACGGGCGGTATCGGTAGAGTCGCCGCAGTCGTCGGAACAGCAGCATTCGTCGTGGTCGTCGCGTTCGCCACTTCCCTCGTCTCCTTGAACATGTCCACATCTTTGTGGTTGACACCGGGCGGCAGTTGCTGTCTGTACACACCTGCAACAACGAGTGGAGGCCAAAACGGCCCTAGCATTAGTTAACCGGTCCACAACGGAAAACATCATCAGCAAAACAGGAAAAGAAAAATTAAACACTGCGAAATTTTCGAATCTCGAAAGCACAAAAAAACCGCTCATCAATCTTCGATTCGAAAATCCCTTTAAACATTTAAATCTTTCTCTCTATTATGTATGTGGTACAGGGCATAGCAAAACACCTTTATCGACCTCTAACTTTTAAACTATCATACGATTAATGTGTTCCCTTACAATATTTTAAGTTAAAATCAAACTCCTACATACAGAATGAATTTTACTGCAATATCGTTTCGATATTAACGACATAAGTAAACGAAATGAAATTATAATGATGACCCGTCTAGTCTTATAGGGAAAAATCACTTATGTTGCTAATAAATCAAAAACAGTGTTTACACTATTATTCCATAACATTCCTAACTCAATAAACACAAAAAAATATATATATTAATAGGTGTTAGAATAAGTGTTTTAGTGTATACCATATAACTAAAGTTTTAGATTTTATAAGGTTTGCAAACATAAAGTCTAGTCGGCAATGGAACTGTTTCGAAGTCGTAATTTGCACTTGCAAATTCCTAATTTAGAGGAAATGTATCTAGTGCAGACTAGGCTTCGAATAACACCTTATCCAAGAACAGTAACAGCATTAACAACAACAGCATCCACAACCAAATCCCTAAAATATTATAGTTTAAAAGTTAGAGGACGTCGTGCCTCGCCCTGTACTGTAAATTCCAATGTGATATATATGTAGTAATAATAATAATAATATAGTGTTCATACATATACGTATCAAATAAATTTGTAGTAGTAGTAGTAGTAATAATAATAAATAAATAAAAAGCGGATTATCCTTATTGCCAGCCAATCAGACAAGGTAAGTTAAATAAGAGTGTAATTAAAAAGGTGCAAGCAAGGTTCCTCAAAAAAGTAAACAAAAATAATAAACAAAATAAATAAACAATAGTTATTTACGTTTGCGTCGACAGGTCAAAAAAGATCGATTCATTTCAAAAGTAGTCAATAATTTTGATCTGTCGACGGTTTGTGCGATTTTATCTCTGTTTGTTTGTTATCTTCTACCACACCAGGATGGATCTGCATGCAGGGATAGGACGCGGACTTCTCGGATAAACCCATAAAGTTCACTTTGCCAAAACGATGAAAACTTTATCGTCTCTCCGTGGAATGTCCGAGGACGCAACGTGGGGATAATAATAAATGTGTATTTTGATTGGGACTCCATGATTGTTTTTTTTTTGTCGGTGGTATGCTTAATTTTTTTAATTACAGTTTTTTTTGGTTTCGTTTTTTATTTTTTTGTTTTGATTCCGTGGTATTGAATTCTTACCCGTCTGATTGGTGGCAATCGGGGCTGGCACGACCGGAAGCGCACGTGTCTGGCCATCGTTTGTGCGCTTTTTCGTCGCTCGTTCCTCGACCACGCCCGAACAACTACCCTTTAACAACAAACTCCTCCCCTCGTGCCGCTTCGAATCGACGGCCGTCTTAACGAGCCGCGACGGCGTCATCTTACTGTTACCCAGCTTAGTGTCATCGCTACTCGACTTTTTGCTGTTGCTAGTTTGGATGGGAGGATCGGGGATTGGAGCTTTCGATTTGGGTGGAGGATTTGTATTCGAAGGAGCGGTTGCAGGCGTAGGGATGGGGACGGGATTTGGGATGGACTCGTCCTTTTTCCTTCGTCCGGGATTGTAGTTCGGGGCTGAGACGGCTTTCCTCGGTTTGTAGACGTTGGGCATAGCGAAAAGGTGTGAAAGGCCGTCCTGCAGGTTACGCAGTTGGGCGCATCCACCGTTTCCAACCTTTCTGCCTGTCTCTTCCTCGCTGGTCTCTTCATTCAAGTTGGCGAAGGTCAAAAGTTTATCGCTCGTCGAGTTCGCCTTGGCCGCTGCTGCGGCGAAACCCCAGATCGAGTCGGTGTTAGCTTGAATGCCACCCACCGAGCCGAACGTCTTCGGCTTTTCCTCCACCTCCGAGTCGGAGTCTGAACTGGAGCTACTTGAGCTGCACTCGGAAGTGCTACTCTCGCCGGAGGAGGACGAAGACGATGAAGAGGAGCTCGACGATAGATCCAACTTTTTCGCATCGTCCGCCTTCTTGCCTTTGCTAACACTTCCGCCGCTGCTACTACTGCTGTTGTTGTTGTTATTATTGTTGTTGTTAATGTGCACGCTGTTGTTGCTGGTGCTGCTACTGCTGCCGCCGCCGCCACTTCCCGATCGGTTGCTAGCGGGGGGCTGTCTCTTTTTGTCCGGATTGAACGCGGACGAGCGGAAGAACTTTCGCTTCTCTTTGGACATACGGTCCGAGGTGTCAAGGCGCGGGATCTGGTGGTCATTTGTGGTGGTGGTGGTGGTGGTGATGGTTGTGGTATTGGTGTTTGGCAATTTCTTTTGGTTGTTTTGGGTATTGGTGGTGATGGTAGGTAGTGGTTTTGGATGATTTGGTTTTTTTGTAGGCGTACCCTCATTTTCGCTGCTGGTATCGTCATCGCTCTCGCTGAGCTCCAAATCCTGGTTGCTCGAAGTTGGTATCCGTTTGCGCGCCGCCCCCGACGTCGGCGTTGTCGCACCAACGCACACGGCAGACGATGGCGTCGACGTGACACTCATTAACCTACGACGAAAGAAAGTAAACATAGAGAAAATGTTAATAAAACAAATAACAACTAAACGCGTAGTAGACTACAAGTCACTCGTCACGCTCGATCTTACTTCTTCTCCTTGATCTTTTCCCGAACCCTGTCCAATTTCTTTTTCACCGCGCTTCCCTGCTGCTCCGGTTTCTTGTTCTGATGGTGACCCAAGCAATGCCGGCACCGCCACGGACACTTCGGCTTTTTCTCCACCGGAGGGTCCAAGCACACCATGTGATAATTGCGATCGCAATTGCAGCAACATAACAAACACGTAGAGACATTTTGATTACCTGCAAAGACACATGAGGAAAAGAACGATCATCGAATTGAATATAATTGCATCGCATGGTGCATCTCAAGGTGGACGACTTACCGCAAGCCTCGCAGGTTCGACAGTCCTCGCAGAACCATTTGGCACCTTTCGCGAGGAGAATCGCAAGTTCGGGGCCGGTGCTGACGCAGGACAAGTGCACATAGGAACCGCACTCGGAGCACGAGCTCAACTTCTCGGAGACTCCTTGCTGGTTCTTCTGCTCCGTGCCCAGGCATTCCCCGCATATGGGCAATGCGATGGGCGTGGCTGGGACGATGCGAGTGGGCGGCTTCTGCTCGCGCTCACCACGTCCTACATACGGCGTCAGATCTCCTCCTGTCTTCTTGCGCGAACTGGGACTGACCTGGCTATAATTGTATTTAAAGTTCTTGCCATCCTGCACGATAAACTTCCTGTTCAACGCTCGCTTCACGGCCATCCGCAGCGAGTTCTTCAAGTCTTCGCCGCTCTCGACCACCGAGTGCGACTGCCGCACGTACTTCTCGATCGTCTTCAACGTAGAACCGTCGCGTTCACCCAGCTCGCGCACCGCCTTCGTGACAACCTTGCTGAGGTCGACTCCGAGCGTCACGTGCAGCGTGCGATTCTGCAGACCGCCGGGATCCTTGTACGAACTCTGTCCCTTGTTGAAAACCTTGAGGACATCGCCCTGCTTGACGGCCTGCTCCAGGTGCTCGGAGACGACGTCCTCATGGTAATTGTGATGCTGCCTAATTGCATGGCAAATCCTCTCCACGCTGGGTCTCTGCTTCTGCGACCGAATCTTTCGGATCGCTTCTAATATCCATCTCGACCACACGTCCTGTGCCACGTCCTCTTCCTCGCACATTTTGAACTAAGAAACAACAAACGAAAACAACTATCATTAATACAAATACAATATAAAGCAAAAATCTACACATCGAATAATAACAATAATGTAAAGAAATTATAAAGAATTTAATTGATTGAAATCAATACCATCCATACCTGACCCAAGCAGCACAACCACACATCTTTCTGCTGACACAAACCACCTCTGATCTCCAACATCATCCTCCAAACAACTTAAACCCCGTCTCAGACCCATACAGCAAATGTCAACTTTTGACAAATATATCAACAAACAAACAAACAAAATCATAATGGAAAGAAGAAAAAAAAACAAAACAAGAGAAATCATAGCAACGAAACGAAAAACATCAATCGAATGTCATTTTCTATTCACCTGTCATTGCTTTTGCCAAAATCAAATTCGAAAAGTCTTGCAAAGTCGAGAAGCTCAACTAAAACAAGACAGTGTCATCATTAAACACACGAAACTAACCAATTTTGATTTCAATGTTTAAGCAAATCACTTACTTACATTGTAATACCATTACATCTTTAATAAAACATTTGAAAATGTCCTCACCAATCCAATCAAAAAGACACAAAGAAAACTAGATCAGCAGCAGCATGTAACCGATGTACGGTAGCTATAGCAATAAACTTAAGCATGGCAGATGTAAAACGTTGGCATGGATGAAACGAAAACACGAACGATGATGCAAGTGCATGCATGCATATCATTGAATGATGCGAACAATTAAACGATGATAATAGTTTCTTCTTATTTTAAGATTTACAATTTTAAAATTAATTTGATTAACAAATAGACACAGCTGAAAATGTACATGCGTCTGTGCTTCATCCAATTATGATTGCTATGGTAACAAGTGTTCCAACAGTGACTGCACTTTAGAAGTGTTGTGTGTAGCTGTTTCGTTTTGAATTCTATTGCGTCCCGTGCAACAGGTGTTTTCTGCGTGTTGCAATCTAACAAGTTCAAGAATCAGCTGAACGGATAAGCAGAGAAGAAGAGGAAAACATAATGTAATGAAGTAATTTTAGTTCTTTCGACTTACATTACGCGCATAAATATGGATATTGTCTAGCGATTTCGATGCTACGATATTGTTTGTAACGATGGCAACAAATTAATAAACAAAAGCATGAGACGAAGAGCAGACGTGTGTGTAACCTACATGTCAGATGAATCGCGTTTAAAGTGTGGACGACAGTAAGAGGCGGTCTGGCGGCTGTCTGGGCGAGGGTGGGTGTGCAAGTCTGCATGCGATGCGAGCGCAAGTGTTTGTTACGACCGAGTTGTTGTGGCTATGGCAACATGTTTATAAACAAAGTCGTCGGAGCATGGTAACAATGTGCAGAACAAACAAACAAAAGCGTTATGACCAGACAACATGCACATATGAATGAAGTGTCACAGATATAACGATGCAAGATTATTCTTTTAAATACCTAACGGATGGCGCCCCCTCGTTTGCCGCGGAATTCATCAATTCTGAACTTTCACTGTCACAACATTTCTTCTGTTTTTTTTTTAAATTTAAGGAAAACGTCAGAAAACGAACGATCGATGGGTTGCATAGATATCGAGTTTATTCAACTTCCTGGTAAGATTTACGTAACAAATCCAATTGGTAAACGCAAACAGTAATTCGAGTACGCAAATTTGATGAATCGAAAGAAATGCACACAGAAACACAAGTGATTTGTCTAGATTAAATTAAAAAAAAAAACAATGGAAACGAAGAAATAAAAGTTGCATAGTAATTAATGCGCGGAATCAACTTTAAATGCTTTACGAATAATAAGCATATTACGAATGCTAATTGCGTGCCTCACTCGTAAACAGAAACTCCCATGTTTCCATTTTTTTTATTTTCACCTTTTTATTTAAATTAGCGCTCCAACATTCAAACAACATACAGCAATGTCGAGGTCAGAGCGAAACGAGAAGAAAGACAACGTTTCATTTTCAGAAAACATAAATAATTTAATTACTCAAATTAATAATAGTTATTTTATTTATTTTTGGTTGGTGATGAACTGATTCGAACGCTCCTCGTTGCTAGGAATCGCTGCATTTTGTTTTAAACAAATTTAATCATGGTTGATTGAAAGCGGTTGCAGCAAAAAAACGGTGTAATTATGGTAAGTTTTTTTTCTGTTATATAATTGTTTTAACAAGTTCAAGTTAGTGTTGATTGAAATATTTATAAATTGCAACGATAAATAGATTTAATGCGATGATTGCTGTTAATTGCAACTAATGTGTATGCAAATTAAGTAATTATTTGAAGGATCGCATCGTTAGCATTTTGTTATGGACATAGGCGTAAACTTGATGGGATCAAAATCCCTGAATGCAGTAAGTTTTTGTTTGCATGCGAATTGATGTGGCAAGGGTTTTTCCCTGTACATCATACCTTCTTATCGTCGACGACGATTAATATTTTTGTGCAACTCTTCGTTGTAAACTCAATTCCAGAAACTAATTTCCTTTTACCTCAATCAATCAATCATTCGACTCTGATATCCTTCGCTCTACAAGGAAACTGGTCAATTACGATCAAGGCGTTTGCGGAAAGTCGTTGCACTTGCACCGAAAGCGGATTCAATCAACGATACAATACTAACAAATCATGAACAATCTTTGCACAAATGTTGAAATTTATTATTCGTTCAACAACAACAACAAAAGCATTGTAAATCCGCGTTCGAAATGCACGTCGCATGACCCGCTCAAATATTGATGTTTTAAACGCGAGGGGAGAGAGAGAGAAAAATAAAACAAGATATAATAAAACAAGCGAGCAAACAAACACCATCGTTGATATCGACCTCGTGAATGTTTTAGTTCCAGCCCTCTGGTCAATTGATAAACGGGTCATTTCATAGTCTGCATAATGCATGACGATCGTTCCAGTGAAACGATCCTTTGGGTCTTCGCGGTGGGTGGATTTTCCACGAGGACGATCGACGTGTCTCATAATCCTCTTATTACGGATTTCCAGTTAATCGAATTGCTGCTTTTTTTTCTTCTTTTAATTTGTTATTTGCGTTGCAACCTACATATATTGCGCTAAACACTTTCACGCCGCATTTGCATACTCTGCTCACAAATGAATGCTGCTAATGTATGTAATTGCGTGCACATTAGATGCATTTTATAAAAAGCATTCCGAGAAATATGAGCTGATCTCGATCGCAACAATTCATTTTATTTTTCTCTCCTAACAAAACAATGCAATTTCAATGAATAAATATTCGTTTCTAAGCTATAATTACAATGCCTTTTACAACGCACACTCTTTTTTAATCAATTCAATAAGTATTTCAAGGTGTTGCTAATTGTAAATACAAAGTTAATCTCAAGATTTTTACAGAGAGCCGGTTTTTATTTGCTTAAACTGTTCTACAGAATACCGAATAATATGAAACTTCCTCATGTTATTTTATGTTTTTTTTTTGGAGCGAACCATCAGATGAATCATCGAGGATCGTTCTTTGTTTCGAGAACGTCTCTTTAATTGATCATTTCGAGCAAGAGCAATTGATCTTAACAAAGTATTTCTTACAAATTCTAATACTTTCGTCCTAACATTTCAGTAAATTTGTGTAACTTTTCTTGCGATGCAATTAAAATTAATCGAGTATTAATTAAATCAATTGATGTAATTGCTAATTTGAAACGGAAATTGTCTAATTGCGGTCTGCTTCATTGAAAAACAGTTGAAATTAATTTTGTGTATACTAAGTAATATTTTATTTTAAATTTTGCGATTATAAGAATCTCCAATAATTGAAGCTAAGATGAATGAACTTAAAAATTGAGTTGCTTAAAATTAATGCATTCAGTAATAATATTATGAATGAAATACTTATACTACGCTTATTAACAAAACAATTATTGTGTTATGATTGATTTTGTTGTTAAATAATTGTGCAATTTGTATTTCAATTTGAATATGATTTTACATCTATAGTTAATAATTGAATGAGAGAGATTTAAATGCATACAACAACAACAAAAAAACAGATGTCGATTGCCATTCTTTCAGTGAACCGTGAACAGCATTCAATAATTGTATTATGCAATGATTAACTTGTAAGACTTGCAAGCTCTACGAATTGAGTGTATCTGTAAGAAAAGAAACAAACATTGCTGTGAACAGGTGTCAATGATCTTGTCTTCACAGCACACTTTGAATTGTTTTGTAGCATTTTCTCAATTTGTTTGCAACAATTGAAAAGTTAATTATAATTTGATTGGATAATGTAATGTATACAAATTATGTTTTATAACAATTTAACTGTTGTTCGGGCAAGGTTTCTTTTAATATTATTTGGCTATCGATCATGTTCAAATTATTTGAAACAATTATTAATTCCATTCGATTGATCAGAGTGCATTTGTTTATATCAACAATTGCATGGATTTTGCTGAGATTATTTTTATTCTATTTTTTTTTCTCTCTCTCTGTGTATGGCGATTGTAATATATGGTTGTGAGGCGAGAAATGTAATGAAAGTAAAGTAAAAAAAAAATATATGTGAATGGAATGAACGAATGTTGGCGCGGATTCGACGGCAATTTTTTACCCGTGTACGTATTTTTTTTTCGTTACATCCGTTTGTCGTGGTGCAGCAACCGTTTTCCCGTGGCGATATGAAATGTAATATATTTTCGTTGTGGAAATGCTAGCGGATGGCGCCGCGCGCGAAGCGGTTCCTCTCTACGGCGAGGCCGGAGAGAGAACGGCGACGGCCCGCCGACGGTAGCCATCTTGGGCGAGGATTTCGTGGTATAACGTAACGACATTTACGACAACAACAACACGAAATTACACAAACGGCGGCCGTTTCGCACTCACTTGCTGGTTACGATGATCTGTCCTTCCTTCCTTTCTTCGCTATTTCCTACTCGGAAACAAAGAAATGTCCTTCCTTGGCCTCCTTCGCTTACGTTTTCTTCGTTCAGGGCCTGCTGCAACCGACCGTCGATCCGGATCCGGCGGCACCTCTTCTTCCACCCGTTGCACGCACAAACATCATCATTTTATTCCATTTCCTTTTCGATCTTCAAAACAACACTCGTCTTGTGCACACACCAACCCAAAACGCGCGCTCGTTCACAACAACAACGCACCGTCGATCCGCGGAAAAAACGGCCCAGAGCAGAAACACAGCCGCGATCGTTTTCCGCGCGCTTTCCCCGAGTTCTTCTCACTTGTTTTTCCTTCGCCACTCGATCCTTTATCACACATCACAACAAAAGGTTATATACATCGCTCACTGCTCGCTCGCACTCTTTCTCACTCTCTGCTTTATATCTTTCCTTCTTGCACGTTTCGTGTCTAACATATATACCTATATATACACACACACATATATTTGGGCGAACGTATACCTATATATATATATAGATATAGACAGTCTGCGAACGTTCGGTGACACAAAATGGCCAGAATCTGCAGTGCGCACGCGCCGATCTGTCAACTAACGTTTCCCCCACCGCTTCCACATGCGGTCGCGCGTCAAAGTGACAACTGATGTGTGCGGCGTTGCCGGCACCTCGTCCATCGTGTCCGTCAAAATTGTGGGGGGACCATTAATCAATAGAAATGCGCCCCTCACCTGCACAACCCTATAAAAGTAGGTAGACCAGCAGACCTTTTTCTGTGAAACCATCGGTCCGAGGAAAGAAACTTTCCACCATTTCCGAGAACGGGCAACGCTGCGCAGCAGATGCGTTTTTCGTTCGGACCCGCATTCATGTTTATGCGCGTTTCCGTTTACCCGTTTCGCCTCTTTTACCGATCATTCCAGCCGCGTTTGCGAAACTTGTTTGTTTACTTTTCTCTATGTGCAAGCATGCAAGCCATCGATTCATTACGCGTCCGGCGCCGTTGCGTAATAGAATTCATAATCGTCTAGCTTATCTCGTTGCAATTTCATTTCAAAATACATTTCAGCAGCAGCAGCCTTCCTGCTCAGATTATCCATTTTTTACATCCTCATCAATTTACACACAAAATTTAATAATTAGCTAACAAATCATTGTTTTTCATATTTCATTTATCATAACTGATAAAAACGTTCCACCAATACATCTTCAAATACACCCATAATTGCTTTACTATAAGATAAAGCCATTTAAAGAGGATAATGAGATTAGGTCGTCGACTAAAGTCTTTCAGCCTTAAATATTTACATCTAAAATTGAATGAACGTTAGCTTAATACTACTACTTAACTAATTGAATCAGTGTGAGGTGTATTCATTTATAATCTAGATCAGAGGTTCCCAAACTTTTTTATGTCATAGACCCCTTGCCATGTTTTTCGGTTTTTGGTACCCTACTTAACTGATATTGATTTTTTGTAAATTTATTATTTATATTGGGACATCTTTATAATTATTAAGATCTTTGCTGAGACTGCGCGTATGCTTGTAACAAGATATATTGCGACCACAAAGCGAATGCCTATATCCTACAACTTATACAATTTTATAAACATATATAAAATATTTTTTTACTTCATAGGTACTTTTATAAATAATGTATATGTCTTTATATTATAAGATAGTATAATGTAAGTAAATAGGTACTATTTTCATTTCATGGACCCCCAAATCTTTTTTTTGCTGACGTAGACCCCTTGCAGATTGTCATAGACCTCTGTATAGACCACTTTGGGAATCACTGATCTAGATGAAAATTGTATTGAATTAAGTATTAAATGTTCTCAACAGTAGATTATTTCTTTAGAAAATCATCCAATTAAGTAAAGTGTATTTATAGTGGTTTGGGGGAGTAATTTCGATTTGGGATTATGGGATTCGAGGCGATGAAAAAAAAATTAAATGTGCATTAAATTGTTGTTGTTGCAGTTTGGTTCTCTTCGTCTTAAATTGTCATATATAAAAAACACATCTCGTTTACCACTCGTTACAAATACAAGTCATCATCCTTTCGTCTGGACAGATTAAAAAATACAAATCATCAATATTATTACTAATTATCCACTCATTTTTTTTTTGTTCCTTTTCGCTTTCGCAAATTCCTCTCCTCTCGTACACGGAGCAGCATACGTCTCGTCAGCAGCGGCCTTCCGCTACTACTTCTTTTTTTTTTATACAGAAATTAATATGTAACATAGTATATGGTCATCGGTGAACAAGAAAGAAAAAACATAAACATAAAAAAAAACTAAATAATCTAAATGTTATCGGCGAGAAACTTATAACGAAAAATAATACAACGCAAACACGGGATGTGCGTTAAAATAGAAAAAAAATATAATAATAATTAATAGTTGGAGAGGGCCGCCGATCGTCGGCCACAAATCTATCAGCCGAGTGCGATAAATAAGAAAATATGTAAAAGGAAATTAATAGAATGTCGCTTATACCAACTAAATCAGATATATCGGGGGTAGATAATACAAATAATAAAGCGCCGCTCCCCTCTCTCTCACACCTCTCCGCTCCCTAACTGTTATCCTCCTTCGATCACATCTTCATTTCTATCTAGTATGGGGTATAGCGACGAGACGGCGATGGTCCTCTCATTCCAGGCCTGTAACAAAAATTGAAAAAGTTAAATATTTGAACTAGATACAAGATGATAATGTTTGTTACCTTCTGTCGTCAAATGAATCCCTACTAAAGTCTTCGTACATTCTGCTCATTCGCGATCCCTGCAAGGCACTTGGAGGCGGCGAGCGTCGGCTGAACATTCCGTAATCTCCGCTCCTGGAGAAGCCGGAGTCCCGTATGCCTCCGCTCATGCTGGACGGTGGTCCGCGAAGACCGATTGAAGGCATCGGTGGTAGAGGTTCCCTGCGTGGCATCGGTGGCGGCAGGAAGTCACCTCTTCCTCCTCGCATTCCCATTTCACCACGCGGTGGCATGCCAGAGTAGCGGCGCTCGAACAAATCGCGCGAGTCATCGTACCTCCTGTCATAGTAACTGTCGTAACCATCCTAAGGAGAAGCGTAAATAAGATTAGTACTCGCACTTGCAATTCATTTTACACACTCTCCTTGAACAAAGAAATCTCAAAGAATCTTCAAGTACATACATAACTTTAGTAATGTATTTTTATTAAATAGAAATTGTAGAAAATGTACTTGTAGGTAACGAGACGTAACATTGATACGAACGTTGAAGAGAGTGTGTAAAATATTTTTAGTCCCGTGACTCAATCCATGCACAATCGTTGGCAACTGCACAAACCTCAATGGATTGTGTGTCTGTGTAGATGCCAAAGGTTGTCATAGAAGGAGCGTTTAGACATTGTATATTATTTTTTTTATTATTATCATCATCAACAACTTCTTTTTCTCTTAATCTGCATTGCTTTCATCCACATCTTAGTGGAGATCGAAAACAAAATACCTGTTAATCATCGTCGCAGTTTATCCAATTCTAAGGGTTTCTATTTTCGGTTCTGATTTTTATATATAAATATATACACAGCATATATATACATATATAAAGATTTTTTGAAGGCAGGTTTGGTTGGTTTAAGGTTGTAAAGGTTTCGGTTCAAGTTAAACTAAAGGATGCATATCTCACAGCTAAATGCACACGTTTGTAAAATTATTGCAAACAGAGATTGGTTTGAAGCTAAATTTGAAAATATTCTTATAAATTAAAATTACAATCTCTCATGTTTAAGTTGCACTTTTGCTGCAATTTATAGTTGTTAGTAAATTAATATTGAGTTATGTTGATTCCATAATTTTTTTCTTAGGTGATTCACTTTGGAAGAGATCCATCCCGTTGTTGGTATGAATATGATTTGAGATGGACTTGCTCCAGTTTTGGTGAACGTTTAAGGTGGTGGTGATTTTCTTAAATATGAACGATGTAATTATTAAAACGGGAATTTCGTCATCGTCCGGGATGGATGTTGCAGAGTTGGTAAGTTAGTGGTGGTATACAACATTTTTGACCTAAACGACGGCAGAGACGGTTAGTTAGGTGGGATGGATGATGGTGGTGTTTTTTTTTAAGCAGATTGTTCTCGTCAATGCAAATAGAAGCATAGTAGTATTAGAGAGTAAATACTTGCATGGCGGAGCCCGAATAATCGAATAAACGGATGATTTTTAGGTAGAAGATGATAGTAGTAGTAGTAGTGTGAATAATAAAGTAAAATAAATGAATAAAAAAAAGAGGTAAGAAGTACAAAAGAAAAAACAAAAAAAAAAGTAAGTCGCGTACCCCAAAGCGACCCATCATCCGGTCGCGCAGGAAGGGCGGGGGCGGCGGCGGTGGGTACGGGTCGCGGCCGAACATTCGGTCCCGGAATCGGTCTGGTCCCATGCCCTTTGGGCACTCTTTGGACCAGTGGCCACCGCGACCGCAGCGATAACACTGCTCGGGGTCCCCCATGCCCGGACGCTGGCGGACGCGGCTCGTCGATACTTGGACCTTCATCGGTTGCCCGTCGACGAGGGTGCCGTTCAGTTCTTTAATGGCCTCGTTCACGTCACCGGTAGACTCGAGGTGCACGAACCCGTAGTTCCGGACGATGTCGCACTCGACGACGCTGCCGAACTTTTTGAAGAGCTCGCGGATTTGGGGCGCCTTCGTGTTGTCCGTCAGATTCCCGACGAATATCTTTGTCGTCGGCGTGGTCGGCACCTTGCGACTCTTCGCCGCCTCGCACTTCATCGGCTGGCCGTTCAGAATGTATCCGTTCAAATTTTGAATCGCCTCGCGTCCCACCGACTCGCTCTCCATGTGGACGAACCCGTAATTCTTCACCACGTCGCATTCCACCACCTTCCCGTATTTCTCGAACAGCGGCCTAATATCGGTGATGGCCGTTTTCTCCGGTAGGTTGCCGATAAATATTTTGTACGTTCCCGCACTGCCAAAACCCGGCATGGCCTCGCCTGAAACTCGCATTAGTTCGTCGTCAGCACCAGTCATATTGCCTATTGCCCTTTCCGATTTCTTTCGCAACAACGAATCTCTCTCTTTCGCTCCCTCTATCTCTCCTCCCTACTATAAAACACCGATCGCTCGCTCGCTCTATCTCTCTCTCCCGGTACCTTTCTTTCTCTTTCTCTCGCCCTCAACCCTTGAACGGGGACCTTAATTGCTCGAAAACTTGAATGAAAACAAAAAATCAAAAAATAAATATAAATAATAAAAAAAAACACGTCTCTTTCCAATAACGAATCATCATCGATCATTCATTAGAAATGCATTAAAACAAGAGGAAAAACCAACTACCACCCATAAACAAATTATCCCCCAACTTGTATAATTACCATTTACTTTTAATAAAAGACTTCAATATAATAATTTTAAAAGACTCTAAACTTAATTATTTGATGTTAATTTATAATAATGGCAAGTTGGAGGAGGACTCATCAACTACAAAAACTAATCTACTTAAACTCATATATTCATAACCGCAGCGCGTGCTAGCAATGCTAATTAAAGGGGAAGGCAGCTCAATTAACACCGGACGATCAATGAATCCTGCAGCTTACGCAATCTTTGAACCATTGCAGCAACTGTGCATAACACGAGACTCGGTTTGTTTTGCTGCGTGGGTGCAGACGATCAAAGTGCATGTATTAATAAAAAAGCGACTGGATTTGAAAGTTAATGTTTTTTTTTCCAAATTCGTCAGCGTAAATCGAGCCGCACCCTGAAATTAGGCGAATCATCAGGAGATTCCCGTCCATCGCAAGTAAACACGAGCCGCGTACGAAAACCACAACAGGCATATCTATCTATATTTACAAAATGGCGGTCCCGTGACTCAGGACTCGCAACCGATAAAAAACAAATAACCCCACACGCATAACAATTAAGAGTAAATAATAATCAATTAACAGCGTAGACTCTAATATGACTGGCGCTGGCGTCTTTTTTTTTGTTTATGTACAAATAAAAAAAAATCTACAAGGACAAATCCATCATCCGGGCAATATTATGGAACATTACACATGATGATTAGAGTAACAGAATTATTAAATATAGGGGGAAAATTTGTGTATCCACAGTAAACAACAGAGAGAATATTATTACGTGTCACCGCGTTCATATCTCATCGGTCATTTCACCGGAGAAGGGAATATGATATGATGAGGCTATAGTCCAAACGCGTTTCAGTTTATTAATTAAATATTTTCTTTTATCATCCTGACGCGTTCGGAGTTTTCTTTTTTTTTTCGTTTGGTTGGACGTTTTGGAGCATTTTTTTTTGTGTGGGGTGGGGTATACACATCAAGGCAATTCGGGGCAGGTTTTCTTTTTTTTTTTTTCATGTGTGTGTGTGTGTTTATACTTGCAGTACAGTAGAAATGTTTTTTTTTTTGGAGACTAAATAAATACGTAAACAAAGATCACTCACACTTTATTTCCACGTTGGCCGTAATTTTGGATGCTAATTTGGTACCTTCGATGCACAAAACGGACGCCGCTCAACGGACGACGTACAACGCACAAATTGACGCTTGCAAATGGCGACGGTTTGGCAGCAGCCGGTACGCCTCGGGACGCCGTGGTAACGCGCATGCGCATCGATCGCTGCACGCACCGTTGCCGGACTTCATCACGCGCAATTCTCAACAATTATCTAACCGAAATTAAGCAATTATAAACAGATAACGTTCGAATTAATTGCCGAATCAATTAGCCGATCGATTACGGCGATAAATCGTTTGCATTTCTGCACTCTGCGCGTTTGCAGCGGTCAGCTAATTCGGTGAATTGGCAGCGCGGCGTGAGCTGCAATTAATTATAGAAACATTGCCAACTTTTGCGATCTGCTATAATATGCAACGATCTAATTATTAATAGAACTGGATCAAGCAATCGCAATGATGATAAACAAACGCATTCCGATTTAATTGCAAATAAACCAAAGTTCGAATCGAATTATCAAATTTATTTAGTTATTTGTTACTTACATTCGACAAAACCGAAAATATGTGAAAAATAATAGCTTGAATTTCAGCATTATCTCCCGAAATAAAGTGAGAAATAAATGCCAAACATAAAAAACCTACGTATGGGCGGAGTGCCATCTTTTCGCGTAAATGTGAATTAAATGAGAGAAATGCTTTAGTTTTTATGAAACTTTTTGTAAACTATTGGTGATAAATCAAAGGTTAAACGCGCAAATGTAAAATATTGAATCAATAAATACAAATTTTATAATAAATTATTGATTTGATTCATTTGTAGGTAATTTTTGTAAAGGATTGTAGGTGGTTTTGGAAAATAAGATTAAACGATCGTTGCTTTGTTATTTAAATACATATATTAATGTTATTTGAATTCATTTGATTTTTTTTCTTCTCATACACGAAAAACAGAACAAAAATAAAGAAATAATAATAATAATAATAAAGAAAAAAAAAAGAAATGAAAATTAAAACATACAACATTCAAAATATCAGTCTTCCAAATATCTACTACGTACGTCGCAATGAACTCTCTCGCGTTATTATATAATGTTTCTTCTCCCTTCCTTCCTTCCATTTTCCGCCAGATCCGTCCGGAAAATCGATATACGCGTCGTAAACATCATACATTCAAAATGTACAAAAAAAAAAATTCGCCCCGATGCAACGAATCCGTGCATCCCACAACATCATTGCCATTCCTCACACATCGATCATTTCATTATTATTACTATATATATATATATTTATATGGAAAATATTTACATATTAAATGCACGCTCTCCAGTCACACGGCCTATTTTGTTTTGTTTTGTTTGTTTGTTTCTTGTATGTTCATCAATTCGCAACTGAATCTGGTGTGTGTTTCTATCGCCAAACAACGAATCGAAACGTCAATAGAGGGGGGAAAATTGATTGAGCAGCGAGTCGGATTTTTCCTCTCTTCTTAACGATTTGCGTCACTCTTCTGCATCGTCTCCATCTCTCCAGGGAAAACGGTTCTTCGGTGCACGTTTTAACAAGTGATGGGTGTGGGTCGAGGGTGGCTTTGGTGGAAAGAAGAACGTATATTGTTTTATCAAGGGGGCGGTGGATATGGTAGGAGGGAGATGATGGATCACTTGGGGTTCGTTGCTATGGTGATTGGGTGATTCCCCTGCAATTGCTATTCGTCCTCTTCTTCTTCTTCATCTTCATCCCAAATATTATTTACACACGCACATGGTTAAACAAAGTAATGGCACAATTGAAATAGGAATTGTTGTTGTTGTTGTTGCTTCTTCTTTTTAACATTTCGATCGGACGAAAAATAATAGATATATTATATATATATATGGCGGAGGCCGGGGAATCCCCTTCGCATCATCATCGCCATGGCAATGATGACGACCCGTACACACGCATACGCACATAACATTCGCATATAATGTTGTAGATATATATATACATACACGAATTACATTACAATATAATAATAATAATAATCTCTTCTTAAAAATTAATATTTACAACAAAAGTAATTGTTCTTGTTTACCTCTCTCTCTCGTACATTTACAAAATTCTCCCCCCTAAATTATTGTTTTTTTTCCTTTCATTTATATGTTTTAATTAATTGTATTTACATTCTGGGGACGTACAAATTATTGTTCGAAATTCTGGTAGGTAAAGCTGATTTACTTCTCGAAGCCGAAGAAGACCTCATAAGCGCGCGCGCTCACTTCTGTTTTCTTTAAGATACTGATTGATTTTTATTTTTTGAGTTTATCTATTGGAAGACAATTCGCTTGACTTTTTGTTGGAGGAGGGAAACGGTCTTTATGCATTAGCACGCGCGCGCGCGCTTCTCTGCGACTGCGACGGCAATTTCGTTTGATCCGACACTTGTGTTTTGCTTAAACAATTTTGATGGTCGTGTCTGTGTCGAGTTTGGAGAGGGTCTTCTTGACTCGCAGAGCGGTGAGACGGACGGCGGGGTTGTTGTGCCAGCACTCTTGGATGATCTTGGAGGTGGTGATGAGGACGTCGTCGGTCTCGAAGCGTTTGGGGATGCGCGGTCTGTACCTTTCCAGACAGACCACCTGCACCATATCCTCGAAGCTCGGATCGTTGGTGACGACGTCGTAGTACGGCACCTCGTACGGATCGCACTCGGCGATCTTGTCACCTGTGGTGCAACGTCTCGACATCTCCCACAGCACCAAACCGAACGAGTACATGTCGGCGATTTTGTGCGCCTCGAAACTGTTGATGTTTATCGACTTGTCGAGTATCTCGGGGGCCATGTATCGCTTCGTGCCGCTCCTCTCGTTCGGCGGCACGTCGATCTCGTTCACGTCGCTCAAATATTTGACGGCCAAACCGAAATCGGCGATGCAGCATTCGCCGTTCCTCTTCACCAAAATGTTCTTGCTCTTGATGTCTCTGTGAGCGATCGCCGGTTTACCCTGAGTGCCGAAGATCTCGGTGTGCAGATGCGAGAGACCGCTCGCGATGCTCGAGGCCATCGTCAGCAGGGAGTTCGGATTGAGCGCGTTCGTCTGCAGGTAATCGAAGAGGGAGCCGTGCTCGTGGAAATCGGTGATGAGGAGCATCTGCGTCCAGGAGCCGGTCCCCTTGATGTCGGCGGCGATGAATCCGAGGATGTTCTCGTGTCGCATCAGCACCGTCTGGTAGATCTCCGTCTCCCTGAACCACGACTGCTCTTCGGTGGTGAAGAACACTTTGACGGCGACCTTCTCGCCTCTCCACTTGGCCAACCACACCTCGCCGTACCGACCTTTGCCGACCGACTGCACCATCTGAATTTGCTTGGAGATGGTCCTCTGCACGAGGATGGGCAGACCCGAACCGGATCCGCTCGATTGTTCCATCAGGTTCGAGAGGGTGCCGTTCAGCGTGACGTCCAGCGGCATCTTGTCTGGGTACTTCTTCGTGTAGTAGTTCTTGTTGCGGTTCTCCTTTCGTCTCCGTCGCAGGCAGAATGCTGTGATCACCAGCAGGAAGATCGTTATGCCGACCGTCAACGAGGCCAGCAGCGTTACGAACATGGTGTTGTCCACCTGATCGAGGATCGAGGGCTCCGGCGTCGTCGTTCTCGCCTCGTAGTGTGGCTTCAGGAATTGATTGCACAGATCCTCGCTGTCGCAGCATTCTATCGATTTGCCATGCAGATGTGGCACCAAATAACCTTTACACTGAAACACAAATCACAAACATTAGACACAATCCACAATTATAAAAAAGATTTGATTTCCTATTTAAAACAATTTCTAACCTGCATCAGACCCCTTTCGTCGGCTGGTAGACAACCGTACGTGACCTCCGGTTCGTAGGTGTTCGTGTCCGGGTCGTGGACCTCCTCTACGGCGGCAAAACATTGTCCGCCGTGTTTGATCTCGCACGTCCCGTTCATCTGTCCATGCGGACAGTGGCCTTCGCAGTAACACCGCCTCACTACAACAACAAAAAATAAAACAAAAGAAATTAATACAAATGTTAAAAACAAAAAAACGATTAATCAAGTTTTTCGCCGTTAGAGAAAGCTCGACCTATGACTCTTGCCAAACCCTCGACCGACAATCACCGCCGTAACCAATATCTCTTTAATATTTCAAGTTTCATTCTTCTCGCTTTCGTCCTCTGTTACACATTTATATTCGGGAACAAAAGATCAATACATAATTAGTTCTCCGCTTATGCAGCCAGAAGAACCGCGCGTGTTACGACAGCAACAAACAAACAGCAAAAACAACAACAAGAGCATGAACAACGCCCACGCGTTTCGAAATGCCTCGTCGCTCGCAAGTGCCACTTATATTGCGATTAACGTGTGCTCGCTGTTTGCCCCCAATAACTTCATCTCGCCGTCGATAAGTTCGCTAATTAACTCTTGCCAAATAGAAGAAATCACCTTTCTCGTGATCCGAAACAGTTCAACGCTTCTAATTTGCTTTTTGTTTTGATACCGATAATATAGATCTCCATAGCAATCATTGAAAATAATTTTTTTGGGTCGTTATGGAAATTGAATAACAACAACAATTGAATCCCAAAACGGATGGATGCATAAAGGAATGCGCGCGTATCTTTTTCTCTTGACGATGATGATGTTTTCCTCTTCATCACATTCGTGCGCTATTTTTTCCCATTCTTCGCTCAACAATCACGTAACCCGACAGATACAATATATATATATAATTAAAGAGCAATTACTCGCAACGGTGAATATCAAATGTTTGCGGCGAGCGGAGAGAATGCGCTGTGGCAGCAAAATATGCAGATGCTTTCTTAAAAGAGTATTTTCGCACCACCAATTGAACCGATATCTTTCAATTGTGATTCTCTGCCACCATCTGCGTTCTGTAATCAAGAGTTTCGTGATTCACGGCACGTTCGATTTCAATTGTTCGTGAAATGCATGAGTCAAAAAGTTGGATTTAGTAAACAGTGAAATATTACTGAATTTGATGCTTAAATATCAATTGTTTTGTTTCAAGATTACTTACTCTAAGCGCACTTCGATGTTAAAAGTGAAGAGTCGTTTTAGAATGTCGAGGAATGTCTTCGACTTCTCAGTCAAAGAAGGGGGGGACAGAAAAAGATGAAGAGAAAATCAAAGGTGGAAACTGTGGGTCCGGGCCGGAAACGCGGGATTAGATCGACGAAGCGGAGGGTGCGCGTGTTCGGACGACGTCGCGACGACCGGCAACGTCTTCGTCGCTCGCTCGCTCGCTTTATTTATACGCGGTGCGGTCATCACGAAAATAAAAATAAATTCCCGGCCTTTTTGTCTGCGACGACGGATTTCCAGACGCTCCCGGGTCTATTTTCACCCGTCCGACAGAAACAACAAATAAATCCAGACTAGCGCAAGCAATTCGAGAGAGAGAAAACTAACGAACGAAGAAGGAAAACAACAGAAGAAGAGGAAGAGAAGAACATTACGCACAGATGCATTCGCTCCTTCCTCTCCTCCAACCATCCCAATGACATAACAGTGAACGCTCTTCTTCACATCGCAAACGAAATAAAAAAAACGGATACAAGGAGAGAGCGATTCTTCGATTTTGCGGCATCCCCCAAGGTTCGAAAAGCTGTGACCTTTTTCCATCTTTCTTTCTTCTATAAATTCCATGCGAAAAATTTGATGCTTCGCCGAGTGAGTGAGCGAGCGAGCGAGCGAAAGAAAAGAGATTCAATCTGAATTGTTACAATAATGTCTTGGTGCTATTTCAAAGAACTCGCGCTCGAGCAATGCCAGTCTCCTTCTCCTCTCTCTCTCTTTCTCTATCACACGTAATGCGACCAAAGAGAAATAAAGAGAGAGAGAGAGATAGAGAAGGAATTGGGTTCCAAGGTTAAGAAGCTGGTACCAGCTGTGGGTGTTATGGGATTGGTAGTACCGCAAGTTTTCTCTCTTCGTCCGCGGAGACGGCGAATCTACCATTACCAGCGAAAGACACCAACCAACAAACCCGGACGTCCAGTCTCTATCCTTCTCTTTCTTACACACACACGCACACATTACCTCTCTTTCTCCATCCAAAGCACGTTTAATAAATGAATGTGTGTGTGTGTGTGTAATGTAATGTTATTTCACATCGAAAAGCGCACACGTGTTCCGCGGCGGAACAAATGCGACGAAAATCGCGACGCCCGCGACGCGCCGCACTTCGTTTCGATTTCCGGTCGTCACCATCGCAACGGCCGTACCGGAAATAGCCCTCCCAGCGACCGGAAAACATTAAATCCAAAACAAAACTTTTTCTTTTTTTTAAATTCATTTGCTTTTTCAATTGCTTCCAATTAACGAGAGCAAAGATTCGCTGAAAACAAAATTCAAACATTAATTAACTCGAATCTAGTCACAAAAAAAAAAACAACAATCAAAGTTTCAACCGAATCAATACACAAAATTATCGCAGAAGCCTTGAAACAATACGAGCAGCCATTTTGAACAATTGATTTACAACTGTCAAATATAATTCAGTTGCGTAATTGAACTTGTCAGACTTCGCGTCGTGTGTGTTTAGCGTACGGAAATACTTGTGCAAACTACTTGGCAAATGATGACATTACTTGTTTGAGTAATTGATCGCGTTCAACCCAGAGAATTTCCTTTGAACTCAATATGGAAACGTACAAGTACAAATTGCACTTGGTAAGTGTCGCTTTTACATTATGTAAAACTTGATTGTAAACAATCATGATTGAGAATAACCTATTCCTGAACGATTAATTAACGAAGCAGAAGCAAAAGACACCGAAATCACTCGTACATTTGTTTTCGCACGAGGGAAATTCGGTAAAGACTGTTTGTGTGTGTGCGGATACGAATTAGCATATTTGCGCGGATTGGAGCGGAGAGAGGAGACGGTCCGAACAGATCACGGGTTTAAAAATAGGCCTTTGCATAATGGCCCTTGATTATAATTTATCGTTTCAATGAGGCGAAGCTCGCTCCACGAATCAATTTATTATTGTGCCATCATCATCATCACCAGCATCAGAGCACGTTTCTGCGCTGCGCATCGTCTGCGTAAGATAGAGTAAGAAAGAGAGAACAGAGATAGAAAAGGAGAGGACGATTCGTCCGTTCCGGTCGTAAAGCAATAATAAAAAAAATGCTAAAATGACATAAGCTAAATATAGCTTACGCGCGTAAACCAATAAATATTTAAATTTATTTCGGTTTTTTTTTCCCCCTACACTTCAACATCATCATCATCATCATCGACGTCTGGTCAATGTTGGTAACGCGAAACGCGCGGGCGTTTCCATCAATAATCATCGATTAATCGCAGCTGGGCTCTGGAATTTCACTCATTTGTCTCAGTGTGTGCATCGTTTTGTTTTGTTTCGGTGCGGTGGGCGTTAGCGGTATCGATTTTGTTTTATTTTTTTGTGTGTTTTTGATGGAAAGATCGTGGGCGTTGTAAAATCGGAACGCAAAAGACGAAACGATCAAATGTGGACCAGCTGCTGATGACTTTGTTGCACACACACACGTGCACAGGTGTGCAAGTATAACGTTGGTATTACCGGCATTTGCATAACACATCCTGAATCACGCTCGGGGAAATAATTGAAAAACAAACAGAGACGAAACGAAACAAAATCAAGCGCACGAAGCACTCTCCTCTTTCTCTCTTTCTTTCGTTCCAGCATGTAACAACAGTCGACGGCGGTAATTTCGATTTCTCGCCGTGACCCACATATTACGCGCACCGTGAACACTCCGCAAACGGGAGTTCCTCGGGCATCGAGTCTGGATCCTGATGATCGTTGCGAATTCAATAGTTTTTATCAACTTTTCCAGCAAATTATGAACCTAGACTATATCTATTAACTCTACATAATTGAATAGAATAATCTAAGATTTTTCTTTGAAAAATACGCAGAAAACGTATTTTAATTGATCGATGAAAATGTCGTAACGCAGATAACTAGATAAATTGCAAAATTAATTGCTTTTAAATTGAGTATTTCCCAATTGATACTTAGTTGCAAATGTGGTTAAACGTTCTTACGAAATTTATCAGAAGTTACTAAAGGTATACAAACTGATGTTATTTTTAATATCATTACTATGACAGCTATCATATAAGCGATGCGATTTTGTCTTTTTGCGGTTAACTAGATTTTATAATTATAGGGGTTTTGTCCTTTTTTTTTGGAGGGGCGGTGAAATGGCAAAATACTGTTTCTACTTATCAACGTCCGGTTCCGGTTCTTTCTTACGAATGGTAACTCACCTGAAACAAGGAGAAAGAAAAAAATGCAATTAGTGGTGAACATGAGATCGATCATTCTTCAGCGTCCAATTTACTTCTCTCGTTTCTTTTTTGGTTTCTCTTTGATTTTTTTCATCTCTCTTTCTCCTCTCCTCTCATTATTCGATTTATTTCGGTATGTGTGTCTGGACGCGGCGCGGCGTTAATAATTCTTTTTACACCTGCGTTTTTGAGTAGGGTGCGACGAGCGAGCGAGCGTTTCGAATGCGAAGCAGATTTGGATCTCCCTTTTGTCTGAGTAGATGGGCAGATATGGAAAATGGGAGAGGAAGAAGGAAAGAATTAGAGGAGACGAGCAAGAAAGAGAGAGATAGATAGAGAGAGATCTTTCCCCGCGAGGGTTTCACCAGGTAGTTGGACGGTTCTTCTTCGTCGAGGCTAGAGACGAGAGGGCATAAGAGAAGGCAGGCAGGTAGCGGAGAAGGGAAATTGGAATTAACACAATGGACAATGATGGTTGATTTGGGAATGGCGAAGGAGGAGGATGGGAATCGAAATGGGGTTTCTCTCTCCCGAGGGTTTTAAAACGGATTCATTGAATTATTCAACAGGTCTTTTTTTCTGTCCTCTCTTTTCCCGTCGTTTTTCTCTTGCTTGTTTTCTAGATGGACGTTGCGCGGACGCAGCACAATCGAGCCCATTATCCTGAAAAACCTGCGA